TCCTATATATATCGCTATTTTCATAATCTCGGTTTAATAATATTCAAATAAGATAATCAATTTTTGAATTTGTAATACCGTTCTCCTCCACTTCATTGGTTTGACATCTACAATCAAAAGAGTTAAATAGCTTTTCTTGTCCTGAATGCTCAGTGTAAATACATTCTTGCTCCCAATAAAAATCTTGCAACACTGCCTGTTTTTTTTGTTTTTTTTAAACTCTTGTTTGCATCCATATAGGTGCTTCAATTCTTTCACCTCATTGTTCAGTTTGGGGTGAAATTCTGAGATCTTTTAATTTGAAAGCATTAAATCACTACACAATAAAAATGGCTGTAACCCAAAGACCTTTTAAATTTCCAAATTTGTCTTCTTAACTATTATCTATTTTTGTTTAATGGGGATATCGTATTGATGTTGCATATAATATATCTTTGTTCATCTGGTTTAGGCCGTACACTGATTACACTGAATGCTGAGGATCATTTGGGAGACGTCAATTTTCCTGAGTCTCACTGGAACAGTTTTGAGAAATTATTATACAGATTTTATTTCTCATACATATAAAGTTTTAAAATAACATAATGTAAGAAGAGTGACAAAGGTTGCACCACCATTTAATTTCTAATTCTTTCCCTCCAAGGAACCAGTCATGATTAATAGTTTTGCAGAAGTTATGAAGATATCTCTGTGACCCTTTGCTGCTTTTTTAGACAAATGGAAGGAAAAAATATAATTCAAAGCAAACAACACAAGATACTGTGAAAAATAGAAAAAAAAGCTGCAAAAAGACACATGACAGACTGATTTCCAGGAGCATATTTGAACTTGCCCTGATTAAACAATCCAAATTAAAGAGCTTTGGTCTGTAACTTTAATAACCAGCCAATAGTTCAGTTTTAATAACATTACGCCATGAAAAAAAGGGTCAAAAAAAGCCCTCAGCTCTAAAGAACCAAGATATCAGAGTACTGTGCTGTGGTAGTTCAAGAGTTAAGAGCTTACTTTTCCTAAAAATTGAGTTTTCTGGAAAAAAGAAAATGCAGCTGAAAATGTGTTTTAAGAAACATATAAAGAAAAGGTTGCTTTAAAATAGGCCGCTTTGACAGGATCTAAACTTCTATTTTTAACTCACGTTTTTAAGGCATAAGGTTGAATAAATTAACCATCAGTTATATATGACCAGGCAGTAAAAAAAGAAAAAGCCTTAATAAAAGGAAGGAAATCCAGGTGCCACGGTTACGTAGCTTGTCAACTAAATAAAAATTGGTAGAAAGGCAGCCAAGTAAAAAAATGGAAGAAAAATACAAAGCAAAGCAGAAACTATTGCAAAGTGCTGCCCATGACAGTAAACTGGTGATAAAACCCTTTGTTGGTTGGTGGCTTAACCTAAAAACTTGACCCTTTTATTTACAGTTGAACCAGGATACATTCAACTATCTTATTGTGTTCAATCCAGTCTTTTCAACTTTTGAAAGTTCATTTTTAAAATGTAAACATGTCCGCCAAGTGCATATAAAAATTGTAACAATAAAACCAAACAGAAATATAGCAGCTATATCCAAATAACCCAGGATTCGTGAGACTTTTTCTAATTGAATATGACTATTTCTCTGTTTCATTTACTGGCATCAGTTTCAGAGAGTGAAAAAATGGTGCTTCAGTTTATTTGTTCATTAAAAGGCCAAATATTTGAAACACTACACAGTCATGCAACATGTACAATGAAAGCAGCCACATTTATCTCACTTCTTCCATTAATGCAATAACCAGTTAATGTGTGAACGGTATAGTCCCATTGTGTGTTTTTCTTTTACAGCCTAGCCTGTGTGACCGGCCTGTAGCTTCCTCCTTGAATCTTCACAGTAACTCAAAGTCCACATTACCACCACCCAAGGGCAGTCGCTGGTCAGAAAAAAACTCCCCACGCTCATTGGCTGAAATGTTGAACTTGTTAGTGCAACGATTGGCTGTGTTGAACGCCCACATCCTGACCTGTGCAGGTCTAGAGCAGCTCAGGTAGGTGTGGAAGGCAAGAAGACAAAGGGCATGTAGGGAAGAAGATATCCACTCTGCAGGCCCTGAGCTGCATTCTGCTCCATATCACCTTACCTTACATAATTGGGTCCATACGAGCACCAAATGGCGCTGACTCTGGCGCCTAGTGTACTGAACTGCAGAGCCTGCAGGGAGAGACAGAGGATGTTACCCGTCCGCTGCATCATTCTGCCTCCTTGTTTTTCTGTCTCTGTGGACAGAAACGAACCGAGGGGCTTCTGTCCTCACTTCCTCCTTCTTTTCAATTGTATAATGGTAATTGGTGGTAGTGGGCGTGTGTGCATCTGGTGCAATAACCCATCCCCACCACCCCTTCTCAGCTGCCTAACCTTCCTCTTCATCTACCCAGCCCCCCACCCTGTTGAAAGCTCATTAACGAACCTGCTGTTAATGAGCTAGAGGGATCATAGAACTTCACTTTCATTTAGGAGGGGTGGGGTTCAGACCAGAGATGCTGGTGCGGGTTAGTTTTTTTCTTTTTTTTGTGCCCTCAGAATAGAGTCAGCAATTATCCCAACCCCTTGGTACATCCCCCAACTACCTCCATCGAGTCTGCTCTGCTTACCCCCCCACCACCACCACCACCACAGTCCTGTATCTTGAGAAATCCCAGTCACCCTGTCCCATCACAGCTTGAGTTCAATTAGCTATAAATGCAACAGTCACGTTCATAGTGGCATGATCCCAGCTGAGATGCGTTACAATGTTTGGAGTCGAAGCCTGTAACATCAGAGGGATGTAAACAAGGACTGAGGGTCCCTTATCCAAACATCCACATTAAAAATTTAAAAGTCAGCACTGAGTATGGTCCTCAGAGAAAGACCCCTCCACATGCTAACACAGCAGCCTGACATGAAAAATACATTTTAAATAGAATAGAGGGGCTTGCAGAAGTATTCGTGAGTTCTTCTACACGTCAGATTCCAACTATAGCTTTCATTGTATTTTTATAGGACTTACTCCCAAGTAGTGCAAATCAACCTGAGCTTAGCCGATCCAGGAACTTGCACAATGATACTGATGGACACCAGCTAAAACTAGGTGTCATTTTTAACAGGACTTCTGACATTGCTGGAGTGTTAATCTCACCAAGCTCTGGATGAGCTGCACAGATTAACAGCTCAGATGGGAGAAAATGTTAGGTGAAATGATTTGGGGTGCACTGGCCTTTAAAGCTCGCTATTTTTGAAATAAAGCAGAAATTCCATCTGCAGTTTGTACCAGACACCTAGGGGTAAAGAATGGGTAAAAGACCTAGACTGAAAACATACCTTGACTTAAACTCAAGCTCTGTTATCCTAAAGATAGCAACCTGACAATGACACATGGTAGCAGCAGGTTATGAGCATGCCTTCCCTTTGAATGGAACAAAGTTTAGATCTGTAGTCAAGTAGGAATTTGAACTGATGATCTAATGCTCTACCTCAACTGACTGAGCTTAAGGTATTTCAGAAAAGTGCAGAAAAAGCTTGTAAGAAGAGTTGAATATTAACACACCTCATTCTTCGGGTTTTATTGTTGTTGTTTTTTAGGTTTTATGGCACTAGTGGCTTGTTTTTCTAAAAGTAGGCTGACAGTGAAGTAAAGGGGGTACAAGAGATGGGGAGAGACATGTGGCATAGGACCACAGGCAGGACCCAAACCAAGGTTGCCCGCATTGAGGACCAAGGACACGCACATGGGTCGTGTGCACTAACCACTGCACCACCTGCACGCCCAGGGTTTTATGGGTTTTAACTAAAATGTTCCTTCTACTTCAGAACTATACAGTGCTTAGTGTTGGTGGTCTGTGGATTTAACAGGATAAAAATGTAAAGGCTTCATGGAGTATTACTTGTGTGCCACTGCGGTTGCAAAAGTATTACAAAAAAAAAAGGTCAAGAAATGTGGATAAAAGAAGGATGAGACCCAACAACAGAAAATATTTTACCTCAATTCTTTAATGAGGTTTTAGCAATGAGGTCAAAAACAAAATTACATTCTTTTCACAGACAGTCGATGCGACAAAGGAGTTCACTTTTGGGCAGAAGAAACAAATTAGCCATGCTTAAAAAAGTTGGTAACAAGTAACAGAGCAGGCAGGTATCCAAGAGAGACCAAGAAAATATATACAACAATATCATCCCTGAACAGTTACACTGCATTCATTCAGCAATCGCTTTTTATAAGGAACACACATATTTATTGACCTGAATCCAATCTGAGGTCAAGTGATCGAAGAAAAAAAAAAAAAGATGAACCTTGAGGTTTTATTGTGAAAACAAGATTTTGTGGAGGTTTAATTAGTTTAAAACTGGTATCTTATAATGAAGAGAAACTGTACACCTTATGACAATTGATTAATTTTTCACCCCATCTTACAACTTACACACCTAAGTGCTCGCTTGGCAGGCTCACATTCCCCAACGATGCACCCATCTTCCCTGCAGCTCAGCAGTAACGACTGAACCACTAAACAGATGTGGCATCCATAAGTTAGGAAGAAAAGCAGTAGAAATTTTTCAAACCTCCACAAAACATGCAAGAGCTTTAAGCAGCAGTACGGCACTTTACCATTGTAAACTATAAAAGAGAGGAGTTACCATCACAAGAGAAATAATACACACCCGTTTCACATGTAAAAATGCTGGCTTTTTTTATGCATAGAAACTAATTTTACAAAACATCAGCTGATGAGACCAAAGTCTCTGTATTCACATTTATATATATATATATAAAAAGAGAAAATGATTTATGAGCAGCGAAATGAAAGGTCTAAACATCCCCGTTAAAATACCAGGTTTTTAGATCTAAAAAAAAAAAAAAATTCAGTATATATTTTTTTTAAACATTTGATGCAAAATTTATCCTGAATTATTGACCTAAGAGAGGGGGGGGGGAAATATCATCAATAAACTGGCTGTATAAGTGTGCACAACCTTAATAATTTGAAGCTTTTTTTGATTTAATGTTAAAAGTTTAGTCTGATCAACTAAAAATGTTATTAGTTCTCCTACAGACCCCACAGAATACATTTAAATGATTGACACCCCTAGGAGAAGATTGTATTGTCAAACCCAGTTACAGTAGTATCCCAACCATCTGATTAATCTGTAGAGGGAGCAAAGAATTAGGGTGATGGTAAGGAGGCCTTCCAACCTTAAAGACATGGAGCACATGACCAGCAATAAAATCCTCAAAATACCAGTTAAACCTGCAAAAAGCTGCTGGTTGTTTGCTGTTGTGACAAAATTCTTTAAAAGGTTACCGTATTTAGAAGAATAAGAATAACTTGACATATCCTTTTTCTTGTTCAGCAAATGCACTTTATTCCTCAAAGTGAAACTTTTACAGGATTGCTTTTTAATTTCAAGGATTCATTTATGTTTTTATAAATTACAGACTCCAATAAGATTTCGGGAAGTCTTATTGGATTTTACTGTATAAATGCATATTATCAACATTAGACCATCAATAATCAGGGAAAAAATAATAAAATATGAGGTAACTAAAACTGGACGTGTCTTCAATGCTGATAAAATGACTTAATTTTATGCTGAGAGAAACACTAAAGGAGCAGCAGAAACTTCTTGTTTGCACCGATTGGGACGGAAACCTCAGATTGAAGGCTGTGATGCACAACTCTAATTTTATTTTATTTTTTTTTCCCCCAAACATTCAGTTGTAGCTCAGAATCTCTTTGTGGCAGAATCTTAAGGGGCCCATGTTAAACATTTATGTCCCAACTCCAAAATGTAGATTTTGCTAAAAAAAAAAAAAAAAAAAAAAAAAGACCACCAGACCCACAGCGAGACATGGTGGTGGCAGCATTATGACCAAGGGTTGCCATTCTTAAAACAGCAATAGATTTTTATTTGTAAGATGCATATCATCATAAATACCGGAAGCCTACTAGAGATTAAGAGTTTTCTTCCAGCTTTGATTACTTTGAGGTCATGTATGTTAATAATCTACTGTTAGCAATGGTTTAACCAGAGTCTAGAAGTAAAACAGTATAAATCTGTGGGGTCACTAATTAAAAGATGTCCTCAGAGTCTGATATTACTGCAATATTACCAAGTCAAGCTGTAAACACTGATGAGAAATCAAAGAGCTTCAGCAAGCTTTAACCTAAGGTTGTGCACACTGCAAACAGCTTATTGGAGATCCTTACCTTTTTTTTCACCCTCCAATATAAGTTTCACTTACATAACACAGAATTGATGTCCCATTTATGTTTTGAAATGATTTGTCATCGTCTCATTATTTTTAGGTCAAAGAAACCTGCTGTTTTAACAAGGGCGTGTAAACACCTTATATCCACTGCAGCATCTATTCACAAAGTCAGGAGCACAGCCTCGCTAAGCCCCGTAAGCCTTGTAAACATTAAGTGACAAGTGTTGTGACAAGCAAGCGCCTTTAAAAAGAGTGTGACAAACTACAGGCAGACAGTGTTTGGATTCATTTCAGCCTGTGGCTCCTCCAAAGCCTTTAAAAGGTCTTCTCTAGAGAGAACAGCACAGTCTGATCCCTCGCCTCTGTGCTGAATATCATATTATTGCCCTTTTTTTTTTTTTTTTTTTGTCAGTGTTTGCTCTGATGGAGATGTGTCGCCATCTGTCCAGTGGGTCGCTAGAGAAGTGAAACACACTTTTATTCTTTTGCATTTTGCGCTGCAGCATGGTGATCAGCTTCCTGTGTTGGTGTGGACTGCGGCAGCACTTCCTGTTCACGAGGTATGGTAATCTCCCTGCTGAATGTCACGGACTTGTTTTTCTCTGTGGTCTGAAGAACTGTAGGCACTTAGTTTCAGCCAGCAGCTTTGCATATGATTATGAACTGCTGCTGGCTGCAGCGGGCCTCAACACTGGGGCGACCTGCCGCTGCTGACAGTGATGCAGCATCTTTGCTTTGATAGCATGTGCGGCCCTAATGTGCCATTTTTTTAGTGAGCAGAAGCCAAAGCTAGGCTCACCTCTGCACTGCTTTCTTGTGGGAGATCCTCCACTGTAGCTGGACTCCCGCCACCTTCTTCGACCTCCATGTCTCTAACCGCATCCCCCTGCACCTTACTCTCCTCGTCCTCCTCCGTTTTCACCACTGCTGCCGCTCCCAGCTCCTCTCCTGCTCTTAATAGAGCCAAAGTGTCGGCAGCGCTGGCCTGAGCGTAGGCCCCCACGCTAGCATGGCTCAAACCGTGGACTTTTTTCAGATGTTTCTCCAGGGTGGCGTACACTGTAAAGGGCACGGCACACAGCTGGCACAGGAAGGAAGCCTTGGCCCCCTGGGCACCATGGGTCTTCATGTGACGTGTCAGCTTGGAGCTTTGAGCACAGGCGTAGTTGCAGAGGCCACAGCGGTATGGCCGCTCGCCTGTGTGGCTTCGGCGGTGTACGGTCAGGTTGCTACTGTTTCTGAATTGTTTACCACAGAACTCGCAGGCCTCGTCTTTCTTCTTCTTCCCAGTTGAACTGGGAGCAGAGTTGGTGTTTGCTCCGCTGATGGCTGTTCCTCCTGCAGTGCTCCTCCTGTCAAAGTCCCTCTGCCACTCCTGCACACCAGAGCCCCACTCCTTCTCCCTCTCCACAAGTTCTCGTTCGTTCTCCCACTCTCCCACTCCTCGTGCCCTCTCACCCATTTCTGGACGTTTTGGGGTGCAGTTGCCGCTTGCGATGCCGCTTTCTCCACTCCCTCCTGTCTCTCCGCTCTCCAGGGAGCCTTCAGAGGGGCTGGCACAGGGTGAGGCAGGCTGCGGCTCCCCCTGCCCCTCAGCTGCCTCCTCACCACCAGCTCTGTGGTGCTGGTAAAGCCTGAGTAACTCCTTGTCAGGTGGTCTAAGCTGCGAGTTTAACAGCATTAGGCCTGAGGCTACGGAGGGGTGTTTTGGATGAGTCAGATCTAGCTCTTTTCCCACCATCCCTGCCCCCTGAAGCCTTCCTCTAACCCCCTGCCTCCCAATATCCTCCTCCATCAGGACCGTCTCCACAGACTCGCATCCACTTCCTCCACCAGTAGCCTCCCTGTGGTGGCTTCTTATATGTCGAGCCAGCTGCCCACTTTGAGCAAAGGCCTGTCCGCACACACCGCAGTGGTAGGGCCTCTCACAGGCATGAGTCCGGCGGTGGGCAGACAGAGCGCGCAACGAGTGGAAGTTCTGGTCGCACAGCTCACAGTGGAAATCAGCCTGGAGTGTGCTGGTCTGAGGAAACGTTGAAGCTGCTGGGGGAGATGAAGATGGAGACAACACAGGGCCCATGGGGTAGGTACCATTGGTGTTGTTCCCCTCAGCAAGCTTCTTGAGCTGCACCGAGAAGTTCATAGCCTGGAGGCTCGCTGAGGTGGCCTGGCTCTGACGGGAGCGTCGCAGAGTCGAGGGCTGAAAGGCCGAGGCCAGAGCCTGGTTCAGGTGACGTGGATCAAGAACAGAAGCTGCAGGTTTGTTTTCATTTAGACCATCTCTTAAACCAACGTATGCATCGTCCTCCTCATCCTCTTGGTAGATGTTGAAGGAGTGCATGTGCTGAGCGTGTTGCAGGAGCGCCCATGCTGAACAAAACACACCATCACACTGAAGGCAAGTGAAAAAGGAAGGCTCTTGAGATCCTGCCAAAATAAAAAGAAAAGTCTGAGTTAACAAGCAAATTAGACGCAGGGTCTCAGGAGGTTAAAAAACAACTGGAATCAGGTTCTTTAGCTATAATGTCATTAAGTTTACAAGCTTGGTTTACTAATCTATTGATCACCATTTGTGTAATGAGAAATTCACATTCTTACAGTTTTCATAACCAGGCATAAAGAAAAATCTATGAAGACAAAAGTATTATCCAAATCAAAGTGACCCTTTGTAAAAGAGCCACTTCCCTCTAAAGCTAATGTCATCTTTGGCGGCTAAAACCATCTAGATTATGAGTCATTATGAGTCATTGAAAAATTACTGGAAAGGGATTTTAGATTGTTTTCCTTTAGAGAATGGGCTATATAAGACCGATTAATTCAGGTGGGCGGGACTTCAGGAACCATGACGACAATCGCCATAAACACCTGGATTAATCAGCATGTCCAGTAATGAAGGACAGGAGATAAATGTTCAGGAGGTGAGAGTTGGGGATATAGCCCATTGCTTGACTTCAGCAACATCCGAGTTTTTTTTGGGCCATCAAAATATTTCAACTGAACTTAAAACTGTACTTTAACTAGGCCCTGTAACTGTATTTTTGTATAATGCTTGTTTTCTTAGTCAATTGGAAACAAACTTGCTAGTTTGCTTCGGCCTATTGTCCCGAGTAACAGAACTACAGGAGTATTTTCAGTATATTTTTTAGAAGCTTTCATCATTAAAATCTGCAAGTCCTGATGAGCAGCAGCCGCAGATTATCACACAAAAACAGAGCACATCTGAATGCGTTTTCACTTGTCACTCCACAAATTAAATCCTTTTCATTCTAAACACTGGTCCTCGTGTCGCACTACACCTGATTCAAATGATTGCATGACTTCCTCAGCAGTCATCAAGTAATCAATTATTCAATCAATCATGAGCATCTAAAACATGCAGGTCAGCATTCCCTGAGGACCAGCATCAAGGACTACCAATCTAGGGGAAGATTTATGCAATCTTTCTCTCTTTTCTGGGGTCCCCCTTCAATCAGCAGCTGTTTTAACCTTGAAACTTTAACATGATGCAAGTTTCTACAGAAAAATATCTTTACAATAGCCTTTTTATTTGACCCTTTACAACTAAAACACTGTTTGATAAGCAGACTGACAGCTCAGTAGTTCACCTCCGATGCCTCTATAAGCCTGTAGCCTATTTTTCCCTCAATCTACTTCGGGTCTTAAATTCTCTTGCTGTTCTGTGGATGTGACATCAAGCACGTCTGTGTTAAATGGGTCTGACCTAGCTGACCTAGCAAACAATTAAACAGTAATATTCAAGATGGATTTTGTGGATACTCAGAAGAATATTTAGCTCATCTCAGACACAAATGACAACTCCAGGTAAGGTGAAACAACAACAAAAAAAAAACCTTGTCAAGTGTGACTGCGAGGTACAGCAACGGGCAGAAGATTACTACAATTCTGTCTTTTGGCTACAGGTGGCAGTATTAGAAAACTCAATACTCAAAGTAAATTATACATTTGCCCAATATTTATTATGCACTGACCTTTAGAAAGACAGGTGAACCCTGTGGTGCAGTGGATGCTGCTTTCAATCAAGAAAACATCTAATTTTTTCGTTATATACCCTTTACTGTTTTATATTGGTGCATAATGTGTAGCTTTTCAAGGATCTAAGGGTCAATATTGTCATTATGTGAGCATAATGAAATTTGGGTGAGATCTTAAATATATTTGACCTACTTCATGTTGTCAGACAGGTGCTAGTTAGTAGACTGTAGCACGCCTCTGAAGTCAACCAACCAATTTCAGCTTCATGTCTTTAATGCCATCAAACATGATATATCAAACATATTTCTTTCTTTATTTTAGAAAACAGGATGAAATTGCCACGTCTGGCCATGAGGAACCCAAGTACTGGAGGCAATGCATCAAACTGATGCTACAGAGGGTGATTCTCATAACAGATACCAACACTACAGAGACTGCTTCCTGATGCTTTAACACTAAGCTAAAGTGAATTTATTCCAGGCCAGAGGAGGGTAGTGAGAGCTACTCTAGGAAAGAGGCAAAGCAAGCAAGGTGGAGATTATAGCAATTAAGAACTTCCCCTAAATAAGAGAAGGAACAAGATGAAGGTGCAAAGAAATCTGAAATGGGGCAGAGAAGTGAGGATCCAGAGGGCCAGCAGCCAAATATATCTGCAGATGTTTTTATATATATTTTGAAAGCCTTGTCTCCTAACAGAGATCTACTCGCCAATTAAGCTGCAAATTGCTAATTAGCAGAACGTAGAAAATGAACGCTTTATGCAAATCAGGTTCTGACTCAGCCTGCTTGACAAATGAGGCCTTTCTGCATAAATCAGAACTGGCGAGAAGATCCCGAAATTGAGGGGAAAACGTTTTTTTTTTAACACTTTTTTTTTCAGAGGGGTTCAAAGCAGACTCTGGTATAAGCCTCTTTCATGTTTCCTCAAGTCAAATCCTTCTGTATTTTATTGGAGGATTCGGGGGGGGAGGAGATTGAAGATGAAAAAGAGAGCAACTGTTTCGTTCTCTTTTTCCCCTCGTCGCCCTCCCTCTGTCTGGAGATGAGAGAGCTGCAGTGTTTGTGTCCTTTAACCTAGCCTGAGGAGAAACCTAGGAGAAGTTGAGATACTACTTAAAGAGTAAAAAAAAAAATGGGGTGAAGAGCAAGAGAAGAAAAACAGAGATAGGTAGGTCAGGGCTCAGGAGATAAAGACAGAATGAGATAAAAAAGATTGTAATGTAGGGTGTGTGGGTGGGTTGAAGCGGGGCGCGAGACACCAGGAAAATGTGTCACCCCTTTAAATTGTACTCGGGACCCATCCTCCAACCTCGACTCCCCCTAAAAACCCACCAAATCTTCCCCTAAGGGTGAGAAAAAGGAGGTGGTGCGGATTGGCTTTTGTCTTGAGGTCCTGGAGAGAAACACAATACCCGTCCGGTTTCTCTTTCCTCTGCGCTTTTTTTTTTTGTAAGGATTCCCATTTGGCCCAGGGTAGCACTTGAATATTAAGCAGAAGCAATAACTACTAATTAAAAATGCAGATTGGCTGGGAGCGCTAACGAGCAGCAGGCAGAATCTCTGCTCCCTCGGGAGGCAGAGGGAGGAGAAAAGAAGAGGAAGATGAAGGAGGGGGGGCTGAAAGAGGGCAAAGCGAAAGTGTGCTGAAGATGCGGGGGAAGAAGTGGGAAGGCGCAAAAAGAAAAAAAAAAGAAAACAAACAAGGCGAATAAATAAAAAGGAATGAGACAGATGCGTGCGGCTCTTCAGTAATCCCCCCCTCCTCCTCCTGCATCTTCACTGCTCTGAATAAACAGAGAGCTGTCGTTTTCTGCTCTTTCACTTACAGTCATTTCAGGAGTCAAACCCCTCCAACAAGGTCAGAAAACTCCCTTTAAACTCTATACACCCAGCATTTCATCTAAGGGATAGAAATTAAGTGTCAAACACTTCACCGACGACGTACAGGAATAAGCATGTTATTCAAACTTCTTTCCTACGTTATGCACAACCTGTCATGCTCCCTTCCAATCCCCTCGTGGTTGTCCTGTCGGGTTTGTGAGGAAGCAAATAACAGAAAAACCCTTCGCTGCGAGGCAAACTTGTGGACAAACGGAAATGCTGCATGCATGCGTCCTCTCGAGCGTTGACACAAAGGAAGGAACTGCCAGCACATGTGTGAGCGTTAAAAAAAAAAAAATGTGCAAAGGGGCACTCATACCTGCCCTAAAACACAATCATTCATTTCACAACCTGATGCCTGTGACCTTTGCAGGAGAACCCATCATTTTTTTTTTAAATCCTGCTACATAAAATTCTTCAAAGGGATTTTAATGAGAATTGTGGGATTTTTGATCTACCCCACCGTGACATATTTGGCATCACAGCAGCCACGGTGACATGTTTCCTTCATCTTCACTGAAGAAGCGTGAAGAAAAAGAGCCATTCGGGAGGAGGGAGGGGGGTCCTGACATATTATTCAGTTTAAGGAAGAATAAGGAGAGAGAAGAGACCTGGGTGTGTTTTTTTTTTTTTTGAAAGCAGAAGATGGAGGAGGAGGAGATTCCCAGGAGCTCAGGTGGCTCTGCCCGGAGGCTGAGCAGTGGCTGAGGAGCTGACGCAATGTCCTTCATTAGGGTGTCATGGCAGAGAGGAGGGCTGCTGGATCGGCTCCTCTGGCCCCTTTCACTCTGCAGAGCATGGACTCAAAACAAGAACCATGCAAGTTGAGAGGAGGAGCGTTGTGGATGACAGGCAGGAAGAGACATGTTTACCTGGCCACTCCACCTCAGAGACTGACAGCCAGGGAGATGGGAAGGAGCTCAGGTGCTCGGCTTGGGGCCCTCAGGGACCCTCGGTGCCCTCTGAATGTTCCTGACGCCTATCCTTTCCACACAATTAGCCCGAGCGTCACTAACTCACGCGGGTGTGCTAATGGCAACGGCTAGTTAATGAGCTGGACTCGAGAGGGAGGAGGGGTGGCTGTTAAATGAATAAAAGGATCGCTGGAAAAAGGAAAAAAAGAGTCACTCATTAGCAACCTGCCACCTTGAGCCTCACCTGATTTGCTTAGGTCTGGTCTCACACTAAGACCGGGTTCCTCCCCACCGGACCGCTCCCTGGAAGCCCCTCTCCGGAGCTCGATGAAGCCGGGTCGTGGCTCCGAACCGGCGACCCGCTGGCGTCCTGCTCTACTGGCAGGCGAAGGAGGAGTGGCGAATGTGGCTTGGTTCTGTGAGACACAGCCGCCCTGTTTGTGCTGAATGAACGCCAGGATGTGGGCGAGGGGGAAGGCCTGGCTGCACTGCCCGCAGGTTAGCAGGTCACGGCCATCTTCAGGGGTCCCAACCTGAAGAGCAGGAGGAGGAAGATGGTGGTCTTCTGATGAGTCTGAAGGTTCCTCCATATCACAGACATCTGGGGCTGAAGGAAGGAGGAAGAAAGTTTAATTTTAACAGAAGCAACAGAACTTTAGTCAGGAGCAGGGTTAGAAAGTCTTTATACTACCAAATCCATTTCATACATATTTGCTTTAGCTCAGCCACACTGGATGAGAGCTTCCATGAACCTCACTTTAAGCCTTATGCATCCTCTCTATCCAAATTCCCATCAGCAACTCTCCTGTTTCTTCCTGAAAACAAGCGTTTCCACATCATGATGCTGCCAAAAACTATCCTTCACACTAAATATGGCACCTTCAAGGTCCAAACATTACATTTTCCTGACCATCTTTTCTATTTTCCTCAGATGGCTCGTTGTACTTTGCTTTTCTTTCCCTTTCTCTCAACAAAGCCCCTCTTCCTGGATATGTAGAGAAAATAATTCCTCTACTAGAGGTCCAGATATTAGCAGCTCCTCTCGAGTCACCATGAGCCTCCTAGCCTCCTTTCTAATGTATGGTTCCAGCCAGTTTAGGCTGAGAGAGAAACCGTTTCTGTTTTCAGATTCTAAACAAAACAGGTTTAAACTTGAGATAAATTGCATACAGGTGGATTCTTTAAACAGACTACATAGGGAATAAGGTGAACTCAGATTGATTTAGGGGTATGAAAAGACAAGGGACAAAATGATATTTCTGAAAGACAAAACAAAAAACCTGCATCATCTTCCCTCTACAACTAGGAACCACTTTGTGTTGGACCGTCTGCTGCGATAACTTACACATTTCAGCAGCTGTGAATACATCTGACATTGTTAATATATAAAATTACTTTATAATAATAAAAGTGTTAAATCCTTTTTTTTTTTAAAACATGCGGTTTTATGTGCGACTCTGGGGGATCTGCTAATTTTTCTAATGTGTGAGACCAAACCTGACCTGTGAAAACTTTATCCTTCTACTCGATACCAATAACTATACAAGAATCAATTTTTTAAAATTTCAATGTTTTATAATTCTCCTTAGAAATGAATCGATCATGCAGCGGTGGGGAACTCAGTAGGTCATATTGTAAAGTCTATGTAAGTTCATTAGATGTCCCAAAATTACAACCCACCCCCCCACCCAACATGTATCATGTTTCACTTTCTAATTCCCCTTTATATGCAAAACTACTCCATTAACAAACTGGCAGATGCCCCCGTTCTGTCCAATTTGTCTTTGGGGGTGGTAACTGGAGTCAACATGGACCAGAAAGGGACAGATCAGTGCATCTCTATGGCTGCAGACTGTAAATCTTTGCCATCAAAATCAGACAGATCATATGTAAACAGGAAATACTGATTTTTTCCCCCTCTGAGGCTGTAGCTTTATCATCTTTAGACTGATCGATAACAAATCTCCAAGTCTGAAATGTTCTTACTCAATTTTAGTTTTGAATTAGTTTTTGAATTAAGTTAAATCTAAAATCCCGCATACAGCCTGTTTTTTTTTGGTACGATTTTTTTTATTACATACAGAGCAGAGGTGACCTCAATGGAACAAAACAAACAAGCCTGGTGATTGGAAGTGCTAGTTTCACTTATGGTAGCTCAACGAGGCCAATCTGCTCAGCCAACACTGACCACTTCCTTTAACAGATCTTTGTTCGCTCTGGTAGGGTGCAACATGAAGAGGCCAACGGTCCATCCGAGTGCAAACCCTTGTTGTAAAATGACTTGCACTCTGGTAGAGAAATGACTGAATTAAAATAAAACGACTGAGGCGTTCACCTTTCACTCAACAGAAAATGTTGCCTTACCAGGCACATGCAGCGGGAGTTTCTCAACAGGATGTAGATTGCAATAAAAGGGGGAGAAAAAAGTGACTGAAGGTGTCTGAGATAAGAGCGGGCATGTCTTTTTTTTCTGTGCAACAATGATGTGCAGGGGGGAGTTAAGCTGACAAATCTAACGTGGTTTTCACGTTAGATTTGTATTTCACTTTAAATACAACCACAGTGTCTTTGTGGACACAGCTTAAACCAAACCCTTGAAGGACTTGAGTAAACTTAGAGCAGCTAGAGTAAAGAGGAGGAGGAGGAAGAGGGGGGGTGGTCAGCGGTTTATTGCTCAACATGGGCACACCTGAATCCACCTGCCCAGGCTGGGCACACTCTCCGTACAGGACAGGTACAGACAGTACAGTCTGAAGTCGGATCTCAGCAGTTGTTACTCAAAAATGTCACCTTTCCTGTTTCAGGCCTGTGCTGTTTGTGCAGGCTTGCAAGGCGCGGTTACACGCGCGTGCCCGCGCATACACACAACACACAGGGTTGAGTCAGGGCCTGTGGTCACAGCAGACACGCACCACTGGTCTCCAGTAGAGAACTGTAAAAAAAAACTAATTATTCTCTATCCTCATTTCCTCCTTGAGTTGATCAAAGTATTAATTATTTGAAATTTCTCAAACTTGTTGTTTAATTGAGTTTTTAATTAAGAGGTCAATGAGAATTGAGAAATCTTGTCCTATTTTTTATTTTATTTTTTTAAAGGCAGATGAACCAACCTTCTCTAGAAACCGTATACCTTCCTAATCTTGTTCGGACCTGTAGCCTGTGAGCAGAAGGAGCCAATAAACCGGTCCTTCCTCTATGAACTGCTGCAGCGCTCATCAGGACAAACAACGCGGACATTGAATATGAGCGCTTCTTCAAACGTTAAAGTCCACCATAAACTCCCATAAACTACTTCACAGGTGGTAAAAGAAACAGTAAGATACTTTTAGGAAGTCCCCCTCGTGTTTGTGAAAAAAAAAAAAAAAAGCTTTTTAAGTTTAAAATGTATTTCATTATAATAGATAGAAATAAATGTGTAAAATCAAAACGCCATAAAACACAAGCAGGAATTTGGTTAGTTTTTTAAAATAAATAATTACAGAATAAAAACATCCCTCTGCAACGTGTTCCCCCTGTGGTTTACCTTGAATTGCGCTCAGGTGCTGCGGTCGGCTCCCAAGTTTGCGCCTGGACATCGCGTCGCGCTATTTGGCACCTTTCCTCGGTCCCTTAAAACAACACCCTCCTCCCCCCCTCTTCCAGCTGCTCCGACTCCGATAAGCTGACCGCCGGGGACGGACAGATAACAGACTGGCTGGCTGGCTGGCCTCCGCCTGGACTGGAGCTGGTGTGAAGGAGGCAGCAGCGTTCAAGTTCACGCTTCTTTTTCCCCCCGCGGAGAGGGCAGAAAGGGGGCATGGGCGACAGAAAGTACCGCCCGCCCCGACCGACCCTGACCCCGCCCTCATCTTCTAAAACTCTCACCCTTTACACCTTTGACTAGCAGATTATATCTTCTTTTTTTTAACGTTCAGGGTAATCTTTGTGGTGTTTTCTGAGATTTGGCTGATTTTTTTTAAGCTGATTGTGAGAATGATGATGGTCATCATCTGGTTCCTCCTCAACAGCTCAGAGGAACTAACTTTCTACAGGTGTCTCCAACAACCAAACCGGAACCAGCTTAAAATTCACTTCTGCTTTTCTTCTTGACCAGATGTAGCAAATATTCACCCATTAAAATGCAGAAATACGTGGCCTAGTTTTTTGTTGTTGTTTTCTTCTTACGGAGCGGTCAAAGGAAAAACAGTAGAGGTGCAATTAGTTTTTGTCGCCACCTACCGGTGAATGTAAATAACGCTACTAAAAACTTCTGCATCTAAAAGCTTTTTTTTTTAAATATATTTTCTTCATACAGAGGGATATAATAAAAAAAAAATGTAATTTTGGCAATTTTTTATGATTATGGCTTAAAGTTATTCAAAACCCAGAATAAATTTTCTTAGGAAATTATGATGCATAAAACCAAAATAGAATAGCAAGGAATAGAAAATCCCTTCATTGTTCAACATTGGGGAAGTTCTGGTGATTACAGCAGCAAAGAGATTATAGAAACATTTTTTACACAAATATGGACCTTAGAAAAATGTATAAGAATAACATAATATATGCACTGCCGACTGTTGATTCACAGTACTAATTGTTTACATATACATTTGCAATAACATGCAATTACCTTCCACTGCACTTTAATTTAGATAGCTTCTGTCCAAACTTTATTCATTTTATAGTAAAACCCATCTGTATATTTGCTATTGTACATAACTGTAAAAACCCTTTTTATAGTAATATCCACCTGTATATTATAGTCGGTACATATCCAGCTATAAATTTAGTTCATAACACTAGTGATCTATATATTATATTCAATATCTATAATGGTATTCATCTCTATACTCATTCAGTAGAAACCCATGTCCTGTATTTATGGAACCATTATTTATCCTGCACTTGCTGCTATTGCACTTCTGGTTAGACCTAGACTGCATTTTGTTGCCTTATACCTGTACATGTGTAATGACAATTAAGTCATCTAATCTAATAATAGTCAAGATTTAAAAGATAAATACTTGAAGCTCTCTCTGCATATATAACAGTATCAGTAAAGCGGGGAATGCAGTTGATCAGCTGTAGTTTTGCTGATGGATTCATGTAGGTTGCTTTAATACAAATCTAATCTTGTGTAGTTGGTTCTGCTTTTTGTCATGCTTCGTTGGCACTTGTTAAGGTTAGGCCAGTTTGCTGGTCAACCAAGTACAGTGACAGCAAGTCATTAAAACAGGTAGGTGGTTGATCTGACTTTGGACTTGAAGAACGATGTACCAATACCAGCAGATGACATACTCTGCAGATCACCGACACTGGACCCCAAGAAATTTTAGTGTACCTCTCCACTCTCCTTTCAAACCTTAATTTTAAAAATGAAATAAGTTTATTCTGGAATTTGGACTTTGAACCATCAGACAATCCTGGTGTCTCATCTGGAACTCAGCCTGGATAAGAATACTGACGTCTGAAGTTTAGGAGTGACTAAGCATGCGGAATGTGACAGTTTTGGCCCATGTCTTGAATGCATCTGTGGGTTGTTGCTGTAGAGCACAGGTGCTAAGGCTACAGCCCTCGAGGGCGGCTGTCTTTTGATGTGTCAGTCTGTCAACACGCCCGAATCAAATAATTAGCAGGATCTGGTAGAGCTTGAGTGAACGAGGTGGTAACTCAGTTGGGTTGGACCTTGAACACATTAAAGAGGTTCCAGGACACTGGCCCTCTAGGAATGGAGTTTAACAACCCCCGACTGCAGACAGTTTGCACCTTGTAAATCTCCAAGCTGTCAAATGGGCTTTGCTTCACAATCCTCTCAAGGCTGCTAACCTTTACATTTATTCTTCCACTAAACTTTCCTTTGAAATGCAGAACTTGAGTACATATTTTTTTTTTTAATGTAGTTTTCATTACCTCGTTATCAAAATCAAAAGGTGGTAAAACTACGCTAATTTTTTTGTTCACATGTACCTTTAAATAAGATTTATTCATAGCAGCTATTTTTAGTGATGTGGTTTCTGAAGAAAACTGATCAGAAATGAGGGACGGTGGAATCCCTGGAGTTGATAAATACAACTCTGACATGACGAAACCAAATATGAAAAATATAAATATTTCATTGGTTTGACAATTCAGACTTGGGAAATACAAGTAAGTATAAAGAAACCCCTTCTGTCAACTCTAGCTCAGTATTTAGTGGATTATTTTTATAACATATAGTAGATAAACTGAAGATGTCATGTTCAGTTTTATTTTAATTTCATCTGCCCACTTCTGTCAACCCCTTTTGGTCCTGTACTCCATCATTTCCCTTAGTTTCAAATATGCTAAAAGGGCAAAAAAAAGAGAAGCACAAGCCCACATAAAACAATGATAGACCTTTACAATGCCTGATAAAATGAGAACCCAAATAAACATGGATGATCTAAAGAAATAAAGGCAAAAATATACTTACTTTACCTGCAAATATAATAAAACAAATGAGATCTAAATAATTTCAAAGTGAGTTTTATTTGTTCTATTTAACATTCAAATAGTACAGAGAAAAAAAAGTTGTTTGGTGTTATTAGCCAGCTGAAGACAGAGTACAAAAAGAGTAATTCAATGCAAAAACCTGGTCTGCTTTTGTGAAATGGTTTTAATTTGATATTTCTGGAAATGACACGTTAAAGCCCATTTAAACTTAATCTTTAGTTTCCACTTTTACTCTGACAGAAACAGATATGGGGGGAGAAGATTCCAACATTAAGTGGATACCTTTTAAAACCTCTAGTATTGCTTTGTGTCTCAAACTTTGGAAAATGTTTCTCCCAAAGAAAGGACCAGGAAGATAAGAGGACAAAGAGGTAACATGCAGATGTGAAGAACCCAAAAATGTTCTCCAGTCGTTCCAAACCGAAGCAGAAACTAAAGAGCAGATTAAATCATTTTGGCTAAAGTCATCTCATGTGAGCAGTGCATGATGATACAATTCTGGTTGAGTCGCTTGTGTTGACAGAAAGTTCTTGTTCTGTAAGAGGCTCCTCATCCTCCATCTGTCCAGTTCAATATCTGTAAGGTGGACTCCGAGAGCGAGAGCGCGAGTCAGACCGCGACCTTCTGAGAGAAAACCAAATTAGTGAAAGGCCAGCAACATAAGATAAACACTTTAAATATGCTCAAAACCCATATAGCTCTTCAATTGCAGGTTTATTAGGCACTAAGAAGCTTAATACACCTTAAAATCATAAAGTATATTACCACTGAGTTTGATTATAGATCAGAATATTTAATACTAAGCATTTTACAGTTATGACAAACTAATTTTCCCACAGTCCTTCATAATAATGAAACTAATTATCTTAGAAACATTGTTATAAACAACTGACTTGTCAATTCAAAGAACTTTAGAGTAACTCAAAAACGTGCCAAATGTTTCAGACAATGGAAAACAAAATGTTAAATCTGGTGAAGCTGCAGATATAGATTTGGTTTTTTCCTCTTTAAATGTATTCAAGTTATTGGATATTTACCATTTAGTTGTTCAATGGTTAGAATTTTTGACATCTAAACCTTTTTCAGCATATTCTAAAATTGCATGCAAAGAATTGTTATATTGATGGATTTAATGTTCCATATACATACAACTCAATAATGTATCCACTTGGTGTAATTGACTGCCGTGTGCATGCTGATTGATTATAACGGCTGCTTATTGGTTACAGAGTTTGCAGCTCTGCCCAGTGGAGCTGCATGCAATGTAAATTTGCGGTAAATCTAATTTTACTTGGAACAAATTTTACTTTCATCTGTGTAAACACTGAACATCTACACAAAATTAAAACATTAAAGAAACACCTACTTTGTTTTAACTATTCATCGACTGTGGATAAAGAACATTAATGATTGAGTATTTCTCTCCTCAAATGCAAAGATTTATTGTAGAAACTGAAGGTTAGGTTTAGTTTTCCTGTGATTAATGGAGCTAATATTAATTTGTATAACAACTATTTCTAGGCTTCACATCTGTGCTACATAGAGTGGGCAGATTACCGGTAACCCAGTCCAGGCTGACTGGACCCCAGTTCCTCTGCATTTCTTCAGTTTGTTTTAGAAGCAGAATGCTTACTGTTGGAGGCTGTTTGCTGTCTGTATTGTTTCAAGGAAACTGCTTCATTTTCAAAAGGCACAAGTGTTCTTTTAGTGTTTTGAAGACTTGGGTAAAAGAGAACAATTGACACCAAAGTACCAGAAACATCCCTCCCTGTCTTGTGGCTTTAACTTTAAGTGTTTGCATAATGTTACATTTTCAGTTTTTTTTTCCGTATTTGATTCCTATTTCTGAGCATCAGAATCATTTTAGCAGAAAAAATAAAATAAAATCAAAGAGCGCCTAACAATTGGAACGATTTATTACAGCTTTCGGTGCTTTCTGCCCATGACCTCATAGACTGAAAGACGCATCACTGATGTAAAACGCCCTCCTTTTAAGTTATGGTTCAGTTAAACAGCATCAGCATTTGGAAGAGATTGCACTTCAAAATGTGTGACATAAATGATGGTGCGGTAATCAGTGAGCACTTCTTACTAGGTTTATTATAATTATTTTACCAAAGCAGAGCAAAGGTAATCAGGGCTATATTAGTAGCCAAACAGAATAATTTGAAACTATTTTAATGTTAGATAATAATAAAAAATAAAAAAACTAACTATTGCAGTAAGGAAAGGAAAGGCTTTTAGTTGGCCTCCACTTTAAATCTCTGGCTTCATCTATAAAAAGCTGAGTATGATTTACGGCTCTTTAGAGAAGAAAGAAAAATCTAGTAAAAGATTAAAAGCGTGCTCCAAACAAAGCATCCATGATAATGTTCATGATGTTCATAACTTTACAACCGTTTTCACACTTTCCTCCTCTGAAAGCATCTATCTTAGATAAAAGACTCACAGGCTTTGTGACCAGGTGTATGTTTGTGTATGGACATTACAAAACAAAAATGAATTTATTCATCTTCACTGGAACTGTAAAGATCCCTGGGGCCTTTTACATACCTTTTGTATGAGCTGTATTCCCGGCCTGGGGGACAGAGGAAACAGAGCCACAATAAAAAAAAGTGCATGCCTTAACATTTTAAAGCTAGTAAAATCTGACAGCAGATAATCAGACAAAGATTAAACTTCTAAGTAGGAGGAAAAGATGGTAAACAGTCTAACCATGTTTGGAGGGAGAAGGAGAATGGCTCTGTCGTCCGTACTGTCTTTCCCATTCGTCCCGCTCTTTCTCACGTCGCTCCCGCTCCCTGAACGCAAAGCTTCCAGGTCAGGCAGTTGCAACACACAAATACCACAGAGTCCACCTTGACACTCACACACACAGCCTTACTTCATACGGATCTTGCGTGCCATGGCTCGTAGCTCTCCTTCTCGCTCCTGTAAAGTAAACAAAAAGCAATGAGTGGAAATGAAGGATAAGAGAGCTTCTGCTTTCTGCATTCATCTGAAAACACACCTGCCGCTTGTGTTCCTGCTGCTGGATCTTCACTTGAGCAGCTTTTTTATCCGCCTTGGCTGCAGATAAGATGGTAGTTGAATGTAGTAAAACAAAAGTGTTTACATTTAAGAGGCTTGAATTCTTTGATCTGGAATTTCTGTGGTACTCACACTGCTTGTTGAGAGCCTTCTGCATTCGTAGCTTCAGTCTCTCTTGGGGGGTCAGTTTTGGCTGCAAGTGACACAAATGTTTTAGCACAAGCTTTCACAGTGGCAAGGAAAAAGTTTAGTTTTCATGAATTTACGCCTGAGATTAGAGATGCACCGAGAAACAGGCTGGTGATCAGAATCAGGCTGATCGGCTCTAAAAGATGGCCAAAAGGTCCAACAAAAAGAAAAAGAAAATATCTAGGCCTATCGAGTTTAGCAAACAACAACACTCTTTGGAGTGGACTGTGATACTGAAGAATGAGGATTTTAAGTTAGCCTTTTTCAGATCAGAAAAATAAACCGGTTTTGAATGTTCTTTTTTTCCCAGACATGGGATCAAGAAACAAAGTCACGGCTGAATGGAGCCACAAGTACTTATTCTGTGATCTGGTTAATCTTTGTATGCTTTTTTGCAATCAATGGATTAAAAATAGGACTGCAAAAGGTGTTTAGAAGTAATATCTATACAGAATATAAACCAAGTGAAGCTAGATCGTGGGATTAGGAAACATCTGGATGAAACAGATTTACATGCAAAGGTTGTTCATCTTAAATGCCAATTGTATATATTGTATCACATAGTTTAAACTCAATTATTGGGCAGAGGGTCTTACTTTCAACCGATGAGATGTTTTAGAATCGGTGTACTCCAATGAGTGAATATTTGATGATTATTTTAATAATCTATTTATCATAACTGTTTAGCCTTTTACATGATTTCAGTTTATTTTAAATGTGGAAACTAGTTACCTGTTAGGGTGTTTTTCTCGGTTTGATGCACTGAATCCCTAAAGAAACTTGGTCACAATGCTGTGGTGTCCTGTGAAACTGGTTTATTTAGGCACCAGTTATAATGTACATCATTCCTGCAGCTTTCTTTATGGGCAATATTGGATTCTGGACAGGATTTTTTGTTGTGTATGAAAGTTCAAACCCAGATTCCAACAATAAAGCAACAGTTTTTTGTAAATTGTATTCTCTCTAAATATGCCATGTTTAAAGTGTGAACTGATGAATCCTTTTCCTTTAAAATCTTAGCAGAGCCTGATTTTTTACAGCAGCTGCTAACTCACATTTTGCTCGTCATAAAGATAGTTAATGATGGCAGACAGCTACTAATTAACATTTTGAATGCTGTTGTGTTTTTTCTGTCCAAGAAGAACTCGGCTCGGCTGTAATCAACATCGCCACCGACAAAATCGGCCAGAAACATCGGTGCATCTCTAGCTGAAATAGATGATTTATACCATTATCTAAATGGGCACCAGCTGGTGGAGATTAAAAAGCAAAGGATAAAATAATTAGTGATCCATTTGTGGAGTCAACACAATCTGAACAAGGCTGTGTGTTTGGACAGAGAAACTGCTGCTGCAGTGTGCCGCAGGTGTAGGACAAATCAGCAGAAGCTAGGATCCACTCAGATGAACCAGGACACAATGTTCAGTATTTACACACACAATACTGTCAGAGAGATAAAAGGGAGAGGACGACGACTGAAGAAGGAGACGGGGTCAGAGAAACATGAGCAAGTTCAGGTCCGGCGAGTTTACAAAGGTTCATAAAGAGCCGGTGGCGTTTTTCCTTCACGACACACCCAGCACTGGGCTGTTCAGACCTGGCCAGGCAAGAAAAACTGCAGGTCACAACACTGCAGGCACGCTCTGCACAGAGAAACACCATAACTTGTTTCTCTGTTTGACGGCGATACAAACTGTTCCTTCTTTACGTGGAAGAGTAGAGACACTGGGTCAGCAACAGGTGAAAACTTTTGCAGCTATATAACAGCCAATATACTGCAGTGTAGCATCAGAGGATATGCAAATCATCAGTTCAGTTTCTGATCTCATCTTCAAACGTCCAAAATAATGTTTTATAAAAACTAATATTTGTTTTGCAAGTCAAATCAGTTGTGCCGTTTGTAACCTCCCCACACACATGTATTGAAGAATCACAAGAAGCAACAACTTTTTTCATCCAATGATAAAGAATTCTCTCTTTCTCTCAGGGTCACTAACACACTGTGTTCTGCAGTTTCTTACTACAAACATATAAAAAGGACGTTTCACTTTGTCACGCACACCTGTTTGTATAGCACACATACATTCTCTACAAAGGGGAGACATCCTGACCACAAATAGGCCTCAAAGAGAAGATGTTTCAGCCTTTTCCTTTAGATATGTGTCCACTTTAAGGGGTGGAAATATAAAAAAGCAACACATTTTAAGCAACAGCTTGTATTTTGCAGTGTGGTGGACAACCATGTCAGCCTGTCAGGGATGAGGGAGGCGTAGACTTTAGCAAAAACCAAACTAGGTCAAATTCTTACTGACTTTGGCAGCTCCCGTCTCTTTACCGCCCGGAGTGTCAGGCCTGAGGAGAGGCAGAAATAAAACAGGTTTAAGACAAAAAGAAGCATTTTAGGCTGGCTTTAAATGTGGTAAAAACCTGTTGTCTTTAAATAATCAATTCCTTTTAAAAAAGAACAGCCCTCAGGATAGCAGAACATTCAGAGCATAAATCAGTCTGTTTCTCTTCAAACGTGGATAATCTTAAAAAATCAAGTCAGATTATATACAGAAAGTAAAAGTATTGATGATAATCCACTGTAGCATCTTGCAATGATATTATGCTGCCGTCTTCATGAAATGCAGAGTTTGAAAAAGCAGTTAAACGGTTAACAAACAGGAATATTATCTTTGGGGGATTTTATGAGGCAGAATGGCCCATTCAAAATTCAGATATAAAATCACTTAACAATCTCGGACAAATCATTAAATTTCATGCTTAAAGACCCTCTCCTCACATAATAATCATGACTCATGTTAGCTGCTTTACTTTTTCAGGTTCTGTGGGAAGAAATCTCCCCGTCACCTGGTATAGATTGATGCCTCCCAGCCTTAAAGCCCCTAAGGTCTTCTTACTTTCTCAGTTTTTCAGAGATGCAGTTGGCAGCAGGCTGGGACCCTCGGTGGGTAGGGGAGGGACTGTGGGTTGTGCGGTTTGAAGAAGGAGAGGGACTGTGGCTGCTGCTGTCTCTCCGCCGGTGTCCTCGACTGTTCCAAGTTCCATGCCTTAAACCGCCACCCTGCCGTGAACTGGAGCGAGACCTGAGGATAAAAAATATATATTTAAAAATGGAGGGGATGTTAGAAATTTGCCTTTTTGCTATGAATTAAAAGTCATGTTTCTGTGATTATTCAGACCTTGTCCGTCTGCGTGCTGAATATCGTCTCCTGTCCCTATCTCTCCCTTTGTCCCTGTCTCTATCTCTGCCTCTGTCCCTGTCATTGGACCGAGATCTTGTCCGGTCGCGTCTCCTCCAGGATCCTCCTCTCCCTCTGGAGCGAGATCTGGAGCGTCGTCTGGATCGCGAATGACTCCGTGAGCGGCGGCTATCTCTCCTGGCGTGTCCTCGCCGGCCTCTGCGTGAACGGGAGGAGGACCGAGAGGAGGACCGGGACGAGGAGCGAGAGGAGTAGGAAGAGGAGCTGCTGGAGGAGGACCTTCGTCTCCTGAACAAATACAGAAACAAAGTTTGAGTAACAACACCAGCTGCGGACTTAGCCTCTGGTTATAATGCTGCTATCTTCATTGATAATCACATTAAATCAAAAAATCAAACAGAAGAAATGCTCTGGCCCACCTACTTAGATATATGGGAACATGCATGTGTTTACTGACTAAATGAAACATTTTCTCCCTGAATAGTTTGTCTGAAAACTGGTTCACCTCACCGATCACAACAATCCACCATCATTCTCTTTGCATCAACGGCTGTGGTCATGGCAAAGTACATAAGGACTGTGTGAGAGAAAATAACCAAAGAAAAGCCAAGAAGAGGGAAAGTTACCGACCGGGAGCCCCTGCTATGACCTGCAGAGTGCTGCAAGCTGGAGGGGGCGTGGCCAGAGAGAGGGGCGGCCGTTTGTGTGGCTGGTGCAGCTTCTTCGTCGCTGCCTCCAAAGCTGGTGATGAACGTGATCTTCTCCGGACCGGGAGTACGAGAGCGCGACCGGGATTCAGAGCTGGACTCCGACTCTGGCCTGGAGGAGATGGAAACGAAAAAAATTAAGAGTACAGCAAACTGATCAAGTTTGAAGTGTTAAAATTAGTGGAATATCTCACCGTTTGTAAGGGTCGTATGTTGGGCTGTCTCTTCTGGCATAGCTGAAACACAAAGGTAGCGTGTCTTTAACCCGTGCTTTCATCAGCATGGAGCAAATTTAAAAACCAGCTAGCTTACCTCGGTGGACTGATCTGTCTCCCTTTTAGCCTCTTCTCTCTAAACTCTCTCCTCTGTCTGCGAGAGCGGCGGCCCTGAAGTAAAACAAGCACGTTAGTCTGACCTCTTCTTTTCCCTGGAAACTATTACTTCAAATTTAGAAAAAAATATTGATTTAGCTTACAGAGTACATGGCTTTCTCTGCCTCCAAGGCTTTGGCATGTTTAATAGCCTCCACCTCCTCTTTGTCTTTTTTCAACATCCTGACAAAAATCAAAGTTATTTCAGCATTACAAGGAATAAAAGTTACTTTAAAACATTCAGAAAAAACAAACTGTTGAGATATTTCAAATATGTTTTTACTTAGAAATAAAGAGACATGTTGGCACCAATAGTTAATTAAAAAGTGATTACCAACTCAATTATAAGCCAACAATACTTTACGAACACCAATAATTGGTAATGTCATCAAATTGTCTTCAAGCATTCCAAAACACACTCTATCCTGGCGTAAGGTTGTTTTGTCTGTAACACTCCACAGAAAAGTTATATCCAGTTGTTTCCCCAAAATCACAATAATAGACCAAAGCTAATTTTTCCCATTAAGAAGTAAAAATAAAGTTGATAAAAGCTCATTTTTCCTCTTTCTATTGACGTTATGTCTGCTATTTTAGATTATCTGAGTTACGTGAGTTTATTCACTAGGGGTGGAAATAATAATAGTTTGTATCGATAAATCGATCCAACAGCTGACGATCCGATGCATCAACACGTCTGCAAGAGTATCGATTCTTTTTTTTTTTCCTCCGGTTTATTTTTATCCATTTGCTCCTGTACGTAATTTCTGACTCCTGTGCTTCAGTGGCGCATACCTATTTTGTCCACCTACCTCGCTACCACTACCATCGTTCTTGCACACGCACACCTGCATAACCAGTAGGCAAGACAGACACGGTGGAGGAAAAAGGTGACTTGCACACCCCTTGCGGGTTCAAGTCATTTGTGTGGAAGTTCGTGGTGTATTCTTGAGCATCGAAATTAATCGAATCGTTAGGTCAGGAAGTCGATACTGGTTCGAATCGCCATGACTATTATTCAACAATCTGTTTGCTCCCAAAATCCAGTATAATTTCCTTTCTAAGTATCCAGAATATGTCAGATGATATGAGAAAAGCTGTCCCCACACGCATGCATCACTCTGGTCTTCATT